AACATTCGCAATTGTCCTAGTTTGTTGTCTATGATTTTGTTCATTGAGTACCATGTATTTCAGCAGATATTGAAGACTATTGAGAATCATAATTGAATCTTTTCTTTTCCAAAGATTTGGGAAAAATGTTGAAAAATTGATGAACAAAAGAAAAAAGGAGATGTTTTTACTAGAGTTTCCAGAATAAATTTAATTTAACTCATTTCAAAAATATAAGGCAACACAGAATAATATACAGTTATCTGCTTAAGAAGTTTCTTAGTAAAATTGAGTTTTTTGATGCAAATTTAGCTTTAGATTAGAGAATGTTCCTTAAAATGATAAGAGTTTCCATCTAAAAACCATTTTTTGAGTAAAAGTTTATTCAAATTGGATTGAAAAACACTCAAATTCGGAGCTGGCTGATCAAGCAGTGAAATAAGGTTGAAATTGATTTTAATTATCTGTAGAATTTTGAGAAACCTGTTTTTGATTTTTGGTTATGAATAACAAACTTAGAAACAGAAAACTCTTAAGTAGAGACAACGATGAAATTTTTTCGGGTTGTTGTCTCTATCGTTATATGAGTTAAGTGAAAGTTTGAAAAAAATTTTATGCAGATTTTATTAAAATTTAATTTGGAGGCAAAAGATCAGTTTTTGCAATAAGTTATCCTTTTAGTGCTAAGTTTCATACAAAAACAGTTCCTTTGGAGGAAAGTAGATAGTGAAGTAATCAGAAATCTGCGTTAAAGCTATATAATTACTTCAATTGTCAAACAAAACTATTACAAAGCTCTGCTCACATCATTAGAAAAGTGTACAAATCCACCAATTTTGTTAAGAAACAGATTCAGTTTTTGAAAAATGACATAACAAATTCCTCCAAATTTGTTTCATTTATAAACTTAGGATGATAATTGTGATAAAAACTTGGATAAAACATGTGTTTATAGGAAATTAGCATAAAATTGAATATTTCTCAGAAATCACACTTGATTTTTTTAGAATTGTATATAATTTGATTTTAATACTGTCCCTTTCAAATGATTTTTGATTAATGTTCAATTAGAATCCACATTAGAATCAAATCACGGAAATTTTTAAAAACATTTCAAAATTAGTATTAAAATTACTTTTTTGAAATGATGTTGCTTACAACAAAGATATTTTCTAGAACAATAAATTAATAGCAAAGTAGATAGAGCAAAACAAAAGTTTTGGACAGATGCTGAGTGTACTTCAGCATAGTTTGAGGTAGTTAGAGCACTGTTTCGAAAAGTCAGATAATTTAAAAAATAGTTTAATGGTCGAATTATACCAAATCCCACCGTGTTTTGAAAATTTTTTCATTTTTTCGATAAAAAATATAAGTTTTTGTCCAAAAATTTTTACCATTGACTTACCAACACGTCATTAACCATTGATACGTACCAATTAGATAACGCGCGATTTTCTCTCGACAGAATGAATCTTTTCGCGTGGGACCACAAAGCAACAATATGGAATTGAAAAAGAGCTATGCAAAAGATTGTGGCTGATGTTGTGGTCTACTTTCTAGTTTTCTCTATGTAGGTTGCACTTCTTTGACTGTAGACGTTGTTGCTGTTGTAACCGATTCGTGATACGCTTAATAATCATATTTAGAAACTGTTTAAGGATTAAGTTAAAATATTTCAGGGTAGACATGTTGTGGTTGATATATTTCAATATAATTAACCAATTGACTTTGATTGTACTGTTTTTATCGTGTTAGAGTTTCTTGGAACTGCTGGCCATGTATGTATGGTAGTCAGAGCCTGACTTTGAATATAATTCTAAGGAATATAAAAATGTGTCGGGGTTGCGGTTTTGCTATTACTATCCTAAGAGTTCTACTTCCTAACTGATTTCATTTGAGTTGAGTACGATGTTGAAAATGTTTTGTAGTCTGTAACGAATTGTATGACGTGGTGTCTGTTTTCGAAACCTAATGGAATTGCGACGACCCATGGGTGGGTTCGTCATGAAAGGGTATCGAATCAACCAAGTGTATACTTAATTGTTGTAATCGATATGGATCCCTTGACGATATTGTTTGTGGTTATAGAGGAAGGCATAATTGTTTCGAACGACTGTAATACAATTCAATCTTTCTTTCTAGTCTCATAAGTTGTTCTGCTTCTTGAATGGAGGTATCCAGCGTATGGTATTTTCAGCGTATGGTCTATTTACATGCTATCTTGATTTTTTCCAATTTTAATTTTTCGAATTTCATGTTCAAGTTGCTTGTATCGGATTAATAAATGAATTAAGTGAGTTTAGAGTTTGAACGGCTGAAATGCAAAAAAACTTGGTTATTTCATTTGCTCAAGTATTTCATTGATAAGATGCATATTTCCTGATGTCTCGATGGCCTCTTCAATTTGATTTTCGGGTATGTGCCCTATGACTAGGCTGAAAGCTAGAAGTCGATTTAAAAATGATTTCCGCGATGATAGGTTGACTTGAAGCAGGCCTAAGCTATCATTGAGGAATAAAAGTCAGTTTCTGCCCGAGAGCATAGTGCAAAAAATGTTCTGAGGCAAAAGCTGTTTCGAGCTGTTTAATTGACTGATTAAATACTTGTGACATAAAAAACAAATGCATGTGACTTCGCTTTTTCATTCGTTTCCTGATACTGAGTTTTCGAGGACTTAGGCTAAACATTCGTGAAGCAATATTGAAAGCAAACATTTTTACTGATAAAACGCCAGCCATTAAAAAGCAAAACTGTGAACATTCTAGCGCTGCAATTTCCATAATAGATAAAGGAAAAGTTTAAACTTTGTAGTCTTGTCCAGGGAATTAATTTGAGCCGAAAAAATGAAGACGCTGTATTTCGATGCTGATTAATTAGTATTGCAAAAGAGCTATTTCAATTGGCAACTTTTCTCGTAGACAATACTCGTTACATGACTACGTGAAGAAATTGGGAGTGGGACTTCTGGTTTCACCTTCACTTCCTACTCAGTGTTGTACCTGCATCAAATCTATGACGAGCAAATATATCAAAGTATTGATTGAGTATTTGCTCAGTCTACAATTATTCATCAAAAAAGTACTGAGTCTTTCTAACAAAATTGCGACAAAAATCTCTTTCTATTTTGTGTTGCTATTTGACTGCATTTGTTGTTTCTTTATTGTGCTGGAGCAACGAATCATATATTGTTTTGACAAAGTTTTGAGAAACGCGTGTTCGTGGTAGGGATTCAGTTTTTCAGTCAAGACAAATTTTGGAAGTTGGGAGGGACCTCTAATTCTCGTTTAGGATAAGTTGATTTTTAGAGCCTCGAATTTTTAGTCGTTCACGAATTTTCATAAAGGAATTTTTGGATCAAAACTACAATAAAAAACAGTCAAAAAATCATAATTTATTTTTTTTTCGAATCCATTATTTTCTCTGAAAAAAATTGTGCATAGCCGCTTGATAAGGAAACTTGAACAATCTGTCCTTGCGACTGAAACAAAATTCTCAGAATTTAGAGGTTTTTGAAAAAAATGACAAGTTTCAAAAACGGTCAAAAAATCAAATATTTGACTTTTCCTAGGACAAAAACATTTGAGGTAAAAAAGATTGGGCGTAGCCCCGAACGCAGGTTAGTTTTCGAGAAAAAAAAAATTTCAAAAAAACAGTCAAAAAATCAAATATTTGCATTTTCCGAGGAACAATACTTTTTGTTTTGAAAAATTGGCCTAGCCGTTTATGCAGAAGAGCTTCCCACAACCTGTTGCCTCGGTAAAATTCTTGATATTAGACCTAGCTGAGTAGTTACCGAGCAGTCAAAAACGACCTAACTTACATAATAAAAAACTAATTTACTTAATAGGTGGATCAAAATGAACTTCAAAAAGAACACATTTTGTCGCAACAAATGCATCGCAACAATATTTGCGACTTAGGTTGGTAAAAAAAGAGAGTTCATACTAAAACAGAAGATATCCTTGTGTAATAAAGAGGTAACTAAAACGGTAATTATTCAGCAGATATACGTTGCTCAGTAAACAGAAAATAGTAAAATTTTTCAGGGCCTCACTCGAAACACTGATTAAACTGTTTTTGCTCCAAAAACGACTTTAAAAAGCCTCTAAGTCGTATTACTATCAGCCGAAACCGTTTAGGCCTAAAGAAAAAAGGATATACTGAAATCGGAGTTGCTAAATTTGCAATCAACGTTAAAAAATTCGAATAAAACGGGCATTTAAAAAGCATACATGCTCAAAAATGGTCTGTTTTCCATCTGTCTGTGTTGACGAAAGTAGCGATGAACGAAATTTCAGACATCCTGTGAACAAAGTTATTTACGGAAAAAAGCTGTAGAAACCGATTGCAAAACCTTTCCTTATCGCAAGGGTAAAGAGACTACGGTATTATGCAGGCACACAGGGAAGTGGGCGCATTTTCTTTTGGTACCTTTTTCAAATCGGCAGAGTAATTGTTGAAAAAAAAACTAAAAAGTTGTGAGAAAAGCTGAGATTTTTTTCTAAAGCGTCTCAATAAAAACCATGAACAAAAAATGCGATCGTATACATTTTCATGATCTGTTTCTATCATACAGAAATAATCCCTAAAAAGTGCCAAAGAGAAGTTAAGAAAGATACATTTTTTCACAGGAGAACGCACGCCACCTGTCAGCAACACACTTTCTCTCGCAGCTGCAACGAACATGATGACGATGCTCAACATAGTAGAAAAGAACACTTTAATGTTCATTGGGTATTTGAAAATTGTTCTGTATTAATCATTGCGCAATAATGTATAAGAGAAACGTAAAAAACATCATGAACTCCAAGTAACATCACAAAGTATTTCAACTAAAACTGAATATGAGCCATAATCATTTGACCATTTCAAAATATATGAAACGCAACTGCAGCAAAAGTCAAAATCGAAGAAACTACTTAAAAGTAATAATATCAGTTCTTTATATTTTCAGTTCTGTTGTTCAATTCGGCCATCATTCAGTGCACTTCATTATGTTTCAGTTTCAGTTTAATTCAAGTTTAGCCGTTATGCACGCCAAGTCTGTAAATCTCATTCATTACAAAGAAACTTCCTTCTGGGGTTGGAGCGAGCACAAATGTCTCGGAGAAAGGGAGCGGCATATCATCATCTGATTTCTGTTGCCCTAATACATGAATAACAATGGCATTGGCCAAGGGCTGACAGTCACATGTGGTGATGACATGTTGAACTACTTTGATGGGCAGGTTGACTATTTTCTTCATCACTTCCTCGTTGCCCTTGAACTGCTGGCCTTCAAAGGTGAGTGTGGACTCATTAGTGTAGAGTGGCGACAGATTTGCACGGTTGCTGTCAAATGTCTCGTAGAAAAACTTGACGAATGTCTGTCCTACTTCCACATATGCCATACTCAAGTCAAACTGTATGTGAACAATCAAGTATGTGAAGTGAGGACAAAACTAATCTGAAAAGAGAAACATATCTTGTCCATACAATTCAACACATGGCCAACAGTCAGTTGGAAAAGAAAGAGTCAATAAACAAGAGTAAACAGAAAAAATACTCATTTTGGAAACTAGAAGTCGATCACGTTTTTCGTGACCTTCACACTTTTGCTGCCCCATAGGGGAAATGAAAAAAAAAATGAACTGAAATCAAAAGTCAAACCTTTCCCGAAAAAAATCGCCACGACCTATATAAGACTCTGAACTACGTGCACCGAATCTTAATTAAAAAAAGTGACACGTAAAAAAAACTAACGTACCTAGAAATGGAGAAATTTTTTGGAGAAATATCCACATCAATTCGCCAAAGATTGTGTTCTCTTTTCGTTGCGAAGCTATCGATGCTTTAAAAGTCTTTTCAAATAAATGTGTAATTGGGGAAAAACTAATGCATCTTAAGACACGAGCATGGGTTTGTTTTTCTAGTGCGGTCTTTTACATTAGCATTGGATAAAAAAGGCTGATATGAAGAGACTATTGTTATAATGGAATGTTTAAAATTTGAGACAATAATGTAACTATTTAGCTGACATCTAGTGTGAACAATATTTAACTCATCTGGTAACGAAAAGAATTGCTTGAACATGAGAAAACAACCCCCAATTACGTATCTGACAGCCTGCACCAAGTTCAGTTGTACACCTTCAAATGCTCAATTCACCGCGCAACTAACTAGAAAATTCACAACAACTGCGCTTTAACATTCAAAATCCAAACAACTAGGTAGAGACCGTTATTAAAAATTATTAGAGGACAGTGCTGATTCAAATTAACCGGATAGGATATATGAGACATAAAAATTGAAAATTCAAACCCGTTTTTCTCAAATTGGGTTAAGATTTAAAAATTGGGTTGAAAAGTGAAGAGAAGAAAAATTGTTCAGAATTTTACCACAATTAATATGGTGCAATTTTTTCTCCGAAATTCCCAACCTAAATTCTATCCCAAAATGGGAAATTTTTTTTAATTAATCAAGAATTACGCTGAAATTGTCTGATTAATTGATTAAAAAGTTAGATCGAAAGAAGCCTCTTACACAGGCCAACAAAATTTTAGAAGGGTTAAAACTCCGAAAACCTGTATAAGAGAAAATATTTTTGCTTATAGTCAAGAAATGTAACCCTTCTAAAATTTTGTTGGCCTCTGTAAGAGGCTTCTTTTCATAAATTAATTAAATAGTTTCAGCGTAATTCTTGATTTACTAAAAAAAGCCAAAATGACCCATTTTGGGGTAAAATGTAGCTTGAGAATTTTAGATAAAAATTGCACCATGTTAATTCTGGTGAAATTCTGCACAAATTTTGTTCTGATCACTGTTTGTCTTATCTAAACCCAATTTGAGAAAAACGGTTTTGAAATTTTAAGTTTTTTTTATCAATAAGCCGCTTAATTTAAATAAGCACTGTAATTATTAGACCGTATGAGTTCGCGCATTATAGTCAAGATAATTCGTAACGCGAAAACTCGCATTAAAAGACATCGCAAAACACTCATCGCCGCATTCGTGCCAACGTGTTGCGTGCTTGCCAACAGATGCTATGACTTTATACAACTTAGAGCCGGTTATCGCCCACGTGCTACCTTAAACCAAAATTTTGTTGTTATAAATCATTTTTCAAGTTTTACCAGTAGTTGCTTTCCTTAAATTGGTGAGTTGTCTTTTGATACGAGTTGTCTTTTGTTGCGATTTGTCGCGTTACCAAGATAATTTAGGTGATAATTATTTGAGCAAGCGCTATTCTGATTAAAGCTGGATCAAATCAAATGCTTTAAAATTTTCAGCCAATCAACGCCCTTTGAACGCGCCAAAACTGAACGATTTCCCTGATTTTAAATTTCACATTGACCACATTATTTCTGGGCATTCGGTTTTTCTGGCATGAAAGGTATCCCAATTTCAACTGAGATCATTGCATCAAATAATGCTTCTAAGCGTGAACTTAATACTAAAACTAACTTTTTACATAGAGGCAAAGCTTCGCTTCGCAAACACTAGCGTGAACACGACAAAAAGCAGCTCTATAAAGGGCAATGAGAAAAAGTAGAAATAAGCCTCGAATTAGTAAAAATTCGATTAAGTCTCGGATTTTATCTGCGACCTAGGGATTATGCGTCTCACGCACTAACCACTCAGCCACGGAGACTTAAATAATCACAATAACAAATAAAGAAGAGAGTTTACAATGATACAGATCGTGATTATAGTAAAAGTTCCGCCAAATAAGTTAGCACTTTTATTGAACAATTTAATTTGCTAGTTAGGCTAGAAAAAAAAGAAGATTCGTACTAATACACTTCGCTTGCAAGCTGGCTAGTGTAAAAATCCCGACCATAGAGCGAACGATTCAAAGATCCGAGGGTACTAAATATTTACATTATCATTACAGTTAAGGATGATTCATCATATTCAGTGTTTTATTCCCATCTAACTACACTTTTGTTTTGCCTTTTTCTCTAGCATACCATCTAACTACTAGACACCTCGTTTTCAAGCATCTGTTCCAACTCATTTTCCCAGCCAGCGGCACCGGTTTCCTCGCCGGTGCTTCCGGTGGCACTGTTCTCCCCATCATTCACCACTTCGAAATCGGTGGCGTCCAAGTCTTCCAGTTCCTTTTCGATCTCGTCCAGGTCATCGTCCGCAGGGTTCCCGTCGGCTCCTTGTGATTCGGCGACGTTGGTGGATCCCTCGTCTGTCTTCTTTTCGAGACTCTCGATCTCCTTTCGCATCTGTTCCATCTGCTCTTGGTCTGCATCAAAGGTATCGCTGACAAAATCCTCCTGGTTCAAACCATCTTGAGGGTCATCTGCGGTCGATCCATTTGACAGCACTCTCTGTTTTCCTAATAAGTTATTGCTGCATTGGCGCAACAGTTATATGGCAACAGCAAGATAAACAAACAACTAACACTTAAACGTTGTAATTATGTTACCGGAATGAAAACCTCGCCTAAATAAATATTTTCAAGGCGAAAACACCGACTATGCATATAAATTACGTCCATTATTCGACCCCTAATTCTACTAGAAAGGTTCATGCAAAAACGTAAGCGTAAAATGTATGAGATTGCAAATTAGACTTTTATTGCAGATAAGCTTCAAACTCTCACTTGTATCTTGGCTATCCTTGGCCTTTTGATTCTCTTGTGCATGAGCGTGCTGTTCCTGTGTGGTTGCGGCTGCTTTGTTCCCTTGGTCGCCCATGCACTTGAGGTGGGCGGACTGGGTGATGAGAGTGACTCTGTAGAAGTAGTTCCTCCAGAACACATCTTCCTTCAGCTTCTTAGGCACCAGATTGTACCTACACAGAGATGACATGTCGAACCACCATTCTTAATTCAACTTGAATCAGACACTTTTTTTTACATCAGGTCTCCCTGATTGCAGCACTGTCGTCGTTTAATAAATAGTTTTTAGTCTGTAAATTGGTATGAAACATACTAATACAAGGAGGCGAAGCGGAGCTTTACATCACCTGAGATGCAACACAAACATCAGAAAAACGATAAGTTGAAAAAAACATGGTCTACCAAAACTTTTTGATGTATCGATAAAAGTTCTTTCTAGGCGCACATGCCAAGTAAAATAATAATATTAAAAAGCCACGGAGCAAAACGTATGAAGCGGAAACAAAGCCGACAACTTTGAGCAGAAACCAGTTGAGCCAAAAAAATGTGGTGAAAAAATTTAAAGCCCGCCCTGAAACAACAATGAACAACACTTGCAGCTAAAAATTGCTTACAGAACAAGTAAAATCCGTGATGAAGCAACTAAGCCGACGAAACTTGAGCAGAAAAAACGAAAATCCAACAACCCAATTTTTATCGGATTTTTTTAAATACATAAAACTGAAAAAACAAAACAAGGTCCAGCCTCCCAAATGGCATAATTCCCTTACGGCATAAAAATGAAACCTTTCCCATATGGTATAAATTTCAAGTTTTCATTGTAATTCAAAGTTTTTTTTAATCAATTTTGAATTGTAACATTTTGTCAGGAACGAAAACATGTGAACAAGATTTGGAATTATTTGCTTCCAAACAAATGTTAAGCGACAAACAAAAGAATTAAGTGAATCAGCATTTGAATTGACAACTTGACCAATTTTCACACATTGTTCACGAAAAACTTAATTTCGATTTTTAAATGCAACTTGCATGAAATTTATGCCATTTGAGACGTAATGAAAAAATTTAGTTGCCGAATACAGTAAGAGATACTCTTGATCCACATTGTCACAACTGTATGTACCTCATGTTCTGTAGATTCTTGTCGACCTGCAGCAACGCCACTGCAGCCGGGAAGTTCTGCTGCAGGTCGAAGTTGAACTGGATGCCTTGCGGGGGATCTCTGAGGAAGTTCCTGTCGTCCGAGGAGAGAGACAGCACCTGAACACAAAACATTTCATTCGGAGGAGGAGAACGATAAAAGCAGCCACATTTAAAGTCTGCTGACAAACCAATGAAAGCGCAATGAAATCGAGCTAAAAGATCGAACTGAATCATTCGCAATTAAGAAGCAGAGTTTTGCAATTAAGTAGCAGCGCTGACATTAAACGTCAGTGGTATGTTTTTAACTACTATTGTCCAACTTCAACGACAGTTACTTCGGGCAGCTCATAACTCGCTCATCACATCTCAGAAAGGATTGAAAAAAGTTGACATGTTTATGAAAAGAAAAAGAAGAGGGTTGATCTAGCCTGTCTTTTGATTTCATCTTCATCTTCAAATCCAATCCAGGGCAACAAGGAGTCGTCGTTCTGCTGTTGGGAAGTGCCCGTGCTTCCTCCTTTCTGCTCCTTTTCAAACTTGTCTCGCTCTTCGTTGAAGTCCTGCAGTACTGTCCCCTCCACCAGCTTGTCAGCATGTGTCTTCACTTGCTGCGAGGCGGTGGATGCAAACGTATACAAGAAGCCTCCCAGTTTCTTCCCATAATCGTAAGCGGCGTCCACTCCTTTGTTCAACTGTTCGTCCAAATTGTTCACTCCTGACTTCTGTTCACTGCAATCTGCCGCCGGAGAACTTGTTTCTTCCTCGTCCCTTTCTTCCACTTCTGTTGATTTCGGATGCGCAATTGTCTGCTTATCGCCTTCAGTTTGAGGCTGCAGATAGCTGCTGATTGAACTAAGAAAACTCATGATTGCAATTACCCTGGTTAGGGTCTCAAATCAAAACTCATCTAGCTTTTTCTGAAATAAACCAAGCCCCTTTAAAAACAATGGCGGACTATTGCAAATGAATGCACGATATTTAGAGCCTATTATAGAACAAGCGGAAAACTGAACAAAAACCTCAATTTTGAATGCACGATATTTAGAGCCTATTATAGAACAAGCGGAAAACTGAACAAAAACCTCAATTTTGAGAGCTCAAATTAAAAGAACTATCTACTAACAGGTATAACGATGTACAAAAGCAGTCTTCGAAAATGATTTAAAACAGCTTATTTTGATAACTGGCGTCTGCCGATATACGATAACTAAGACTGCTTGTATAGCAGGGACTGAATCTTCTAATAGCCCCTGAGCTGGTTTCGAATAGTTATTGCTCCAAAAATTGCATTTGATATTGGCTGAACAAAAATTATTTGTTGATTTTTGGAGCAATAACTATTCAAGTTCAGGGGCTATTGGAAGATTCAGTCCCTGCTATACAAGCAATATCAAATGCAAGTGCTGATACTTGAGTAGAGTTTGACATTTTTCGACTTTGTTATACTGATGAGGGATGGAAAGCGTAATTTCAAAAATAGTCTGCTCATAACCGTAGTTGGATCTCAATAATTGAGAAGAGTGAAAATTTGAGAAATGGGGAAGACATAATTTTTTTTTGAAAATCGGGAGTCGCTACCTAATTTTTGCAGGAAAATCTCGCTCAGAAGAAAAAAATTCTTGCAACCAGTTCTTTCGATTGACGCCTTCATCTCAGATTTGATAGGGTAGATTTTAAGTAAAGTCAAAAAGTTTCTAAAAACTGTTTAAAGTTCAAAAGCTTGACTTTCAAAACTCAGTAATTTTATGCAAAAAGAATGTTGTGGCCGCTTAAGCAGAGACAGAGAAGACTCTCACAAGCTACTTTCTCGATTTAACATTTAAACTAAGAGTTGTCAGTGTGGTTTTCCAGAAAAACCAAAACGTTTCCAAAAAACGGTCCATAAATCAAAAATTTGACTTTTCCCAGAATCATAGCTTTATATGTAAAAGTTTTGGGCATGGCCGCAAATTCAGGGAAGATCCTTATAACCCTTTTCTCCGTTGAACTCATAACAATATATTTGGGAGGGTGGTTTTCGAGAAAAGTTTTAGAAAAATAGTCAAAAAAACAGAATGATGACTATTCAGAAGAGGACGATAAAATTTTGGGCATAGCCGCTAATGCAGGGTAGCTTTATAAAAACCGTAATCTTGAACCAAAATTCTCAGATTAAGGAGGGTGGTTTTCGAGTTAAGTCAAAAACTTTCAAAAACCGGTAAAAAAATAGATATTTTACTTTTCCGAAGGCCATAACTTTTTGAGAAAAAACTTTTGAACTAGCCAATTTTGCAGCGCAGCCAAATTTTTGTAGCAAGGCGGTCTATCCATTGATACCTATTTCTTGAAATTCAGCAAAATGGTTTTCAAGAAAAACCAAATCTTTTTGCAAAAAAAATTCGAAAGCTCGAAAAAAGCATAATAATAAAAAACTCGAACCCATAGATTTTCGTAATTCCTGTTTTAATCAAACAAGAAATCTACTCAAACATGCCAATCAACATATTTGAATTTCAAATTAGCAACAGATCAAAACTTTCGAGGCGGCAACAAAGCCTAAAATCTTCGAGCAGACATCATATAAGCCGAAAAAGTCCCCCTTCAACTACAATAATCAACAATTGCAAATAGCATGATGCTTGCTTACATAAAAAAATCTGTGATGTTGCACCTAAGCCGACAAAACTTGTCCAGACAAACGAAAGTCCGACACTTTAATTTTTACCGGACAAAAACTTAAAAATGCATACACTGAAAAAGAAACAAGTCCGGCTGGGACTCGTACCCCCAGACCTTAGGGTAAAACGCAACTGCGTAACCTCGAAACCAAGTGAGAAGCATTTTCAAAGATGCTAAGGTTCACTTATAAATCCAATGCAAGCTAGCGATATAAAAAAATGAAAACAACTTCAGAAAAACAGTAGAACAATACAACCACATGTATTAAATGAGCTTTTGATAATTACCGTCCGGCTACTATGCTGACAAAAAGTCAGTTGATGCCCTATGAGCCAAAAAAACTGTTGTTTTAAAAACTTCCGGAGCAATTAAGTTTTAAACTTTGAAAATTGAGCTTGGACATATTTTAAGATTTTTCCTGAAAAAAAATCATCACGACCCATATAAGAGTCTGAAATCATCACGACCCATCGACTCTTAAACTGCAGGAGTTATTCAAAACATTAAAAGCAACTACATTAAAAACTGCGTACAAAAAATTTGCGTAAGAAAATGAAAATTGCGTAACAAATCATTTCTACGATGTGGCAACCAAGCCCACAAAACATAAGCAGACAAACTAGAGGCTGACATCTTTTGGAAAGCAATGTATCCAGTTGGAGAAAAAAACTAAACAGCTCCTGGTCAGATTCCAACCCACGACCTTTGCCGTCCCAGGCATATTCTTCACATCCAAGCTAAGTTCCTGGTGACGCATTGAAGTTTGAATACATTTTGAACCAATATAGAAGTGATTCTGTTAATCAACTTGTGAGCCCAAAAATCTATATTCCGATCTAATAACGCTTGATAATCGCAAACGTAACAAACTTTTAAATTACAGAACAACTTTCGGTAATAAAAAAATCAGTCTAAATCAAACTAAAAAACCACGCTTCGGTGGATGAGAATGAAAACCCGTATCAGATAACACAAATGCCTTTGAAAAAAAACTGAAATTGAACCGACGGAAACAAATAATCCCAAATAACATGATTTTTTGATTAAATTTATTAAAGAACTAAATAATTCTCAAAAAAAAGACTTGGTAGTTATAATTGAAAATTCACGAAAGATGCCTTGAAATTACGTGAAAAGAATGCACGTACTACTGAATTTCTTGAAAGATTTGTGTTCCCGAATACAAAACACAATGCTCACACAATAAAATCACAATAAACAACACTAAGCAAAATGAAAACTAAAAACAGAACAAAAAAGTCCATGATGAGAGTAGTATTTGTTGGAGCTGATAAATGGGGGTGTGGTTAGAGAACCCCAAGTATTAACATAGGTCATGGAAGATCTGGTCTCCAAGCTATGTATTAAGATACGGAAAAGGTTTCCTAATATATGAAGATAGGTTATAGGTTTCCCAATGTATTAAGATGTGTTATACCAAGTTTCAGATGATAATTTTCACAAAAAATTTTCAGCGCCCAATTTTTCAATGTATTTAGATAGTGAATAGAATTGCCTATGCATTAGGATGAGTAATAGAAATTCTTAAAATAGGGAAAGGTTCCCCAATTTATCAAGATAGGTTTCAGATGGTGAGATTATAAGTTTTAAAAAAGTTTGGCACTCGATCTTACCATGTTTTAAGATCCTCTACACCAATCGGATAGGGTATAGATTTCTCAATGTATTAAGATTGGCAATAAAACTTCCATGTATTATGATAAGACATACTAGATCTTCTAAAACTTTCAGCTCGAAAAAAGCTAGATCTACAAAAATTTTCATATCTCTGCCTTGGATAAATTTTATTTACTGAAAAAACAAGACAATTAAAAGTACAAGTGAAAAATATTATTGCATCGAAACAGAGTGGCACTGTAAGCTACCTTGATTAGAAATGAATAGGCAATAACTAACTTCAAAAAAAACAAATTGATGAAAGGAAATTTTTTTTTTGGAAAAAGGATTAATTCTATTTCAGACATACAGTCTAGAAAAACTCCACTACTTTTAAAATAACTTTGAGCCCAATAAACATAGCGATGAAAGCTAGGAAATAAAAATGGAAACGAAAACCATTAAGTAAAAAAACGTTGAGAAAAGTCGCACAAATCAGCTACAAAAATTTCATGCATTAATCTCAAATGGCGTTTATTTTCAGTAAAACACGCCTAGAAACAAAGTCAACGGCGTTAAATTAGCATTTAATTTATCAAATGGCACCTAATCCCTTTAAACAAAAAAATTCAGCAACCAACGCGTTATAACATTTTCGCAACAGTTTAAATCAACTTAATAGAAATTTGAAATTACACAGAGGTGAAGCAGCGCTTGGCACCTCATACGATGCAACACCAACATAGCATGATAAACTAGCAGCCAGAAATTGAGAAAGCCACTAATTCCTAGAAAATTTGAAAAACTAGATCTACTAAAATTTTCACATCTTTGTTCTCGATAAACTTCAATTATTGAAAAAACAAGACAATTAAAAATAGAAGTGAAGAATAGTATTGCAGCGAAACAAAGTGGCACTGCAAGCTATCTTGAATAGAATTGAATAAGCAATTACTAATTTCAAAAAGAACAAACTGATGAAAAGGAAAACTTTTTTTGGAAGAAATGATTATTTCTATTTCAGAAATACAGTCTAGAAAAACCACTACCAACTTTAATGTAACGAAGAAATGATTATTTCTATTTCAGAAATACAGTCTAGAAAAACCACTAACAATTTTAATAAAACATTCAGTAATAACCGAGCGGCCACTTAGCCGACAAAAAACATTAGAGGGACGCCTATTAAGCCCAAAGCAAAAAAACCATGAAAAATTGTTGTCAAAAAACGGTTGCCAAGTTTTGAACGATAAAGTTTAAACTATTATACGCATGATCTATTCAAAACAACAGTAACTAATTTTAGACCTACAAAGGACATAAAATATTAAAGACGACAAAACATACTGAAATCATCTAGGCCGAAAAAATCAAGATATTAACCCGAAAAATTCTTTATTTCAATTTGCTAACGCTTGCTAATCGCAAGCGTAACAAACTTATCAAATTACAGAACAACTTTCAGTTATAAAAAAACAGTTTAAACAAACTTAAAACCCATGCTTCGAAAACGAAGCCAACAAATACCGGTATCAAATAATAATAAATGCCTAAAAACGGATATTGAGCCAATGGAAACAACTTATCTAAAAAAACATGAAGTTTATTTGAAAAAAAAAAAATACTATTTAATAAAGACTAGGTAGTTATAATTGAAACTTCGTGAGATGTGCCATGAAA